TATATAAAAGAGGTTAACAGAACTCGAAGCTCTTCGCCGCTCTCTCAATCTTTTCATCGCGACCGCAAATGGCCAAGCGATTGATCCCCTCTCTGAATCGCATTCTGGTGGAGAAGATATCCTTCTCCCGGAGAAAACCAGCAAGCTGAACTCTGGGAAAGTTGTGGTTGTTGGCCCTGGAACCCCTGATAAAGAGGGGAATCTTATACCTGTAGCCGTGAAGGAAGGAGATGTTCTTCTTCTGCCTGACTATGGCGGTACTGAAGTGAAACTCAGAGAGAAAGAGTTTCTCCTTTTCCGAGAAGATGATATATTGGGGACGCTTAAAGAATGATGAGAGGTACAACCATAATTGATGAATTGTGTGGGCATGAATCTATCACTGGCTTGTTATCATTTTCATTATCATTATGAAAACTTGAGAGAAATGAAATTTTCATGGCACTGACTGGAGGCTTGTATAATGACCTCTGTCCATATTTCTCTCTCTCTCTCTCTCTCTCTCTCTCTCTATATATATATATATATATATATATATATATATCAGTGTATGTGCGTTTATATTAAGAGGATAACTAGGAGTGGCCTAAGTGGCCTAAGAGAATCGACTGACTCCTTAGGAGGGAGAAAACTTGAACTGGTTTTGTCCAAGGCAAAGTAGCTAGGTCGCATTAAACTGTAGGAAAACAACAAAAGTCCAAGGCAAAGTAGCTAGGTCATCTTAGGAGCGACAAGTCGAAACACCGCCCGAATCACCCTTGGGTACAACTCTTAAAGGGAAAAAGAGACGCTAACGAATGTCTCGATACAGAACACACAAAAAAATGAACCTAAAATATCAGGAATACAATTATATAATAAGGGGACAACTTGGAGTGGCCCAAGAGGACCAATCGACTCTTTGGAGGAGAGAAAACCTGGACAGGTTTGGTCCAGGTGAGGCATCCGGGGGAGTGGTTCTCGCAGGAACACCCGTGTGTGGGAATTTGATCTTGGTTCTGCTTGCGGATGTCTCGTGTCAGTGCTGTTGGCATTATTGCGTCAATATCATTCAAATCTTTCACATCACATAAAAAGTTTCCATTATTTCAACTTTTAAAAGTTGAATACTCTTTCATGCACAAGTAAGGTGGCATGTATGTAAAAACAAAAGTTTAGTTGTTAGATATGTAAATGCATATTAATTAAGTGGTATGTATGTAAATTTTCCTAATTTTTTCTATTAATTTAATCTGGAAACATTGGGCTGATATTTTTTTCCCCTCAGATCCAAAACACCTTACCAAATCGTCTTAACTAAGACCGACATCGTTTTCCCCATAGATGTTGCTCGACGTGCGATGCAAATCCAAGAGGTAAAGATCAAGAACACATCTCCATTCTTTCTAAGTGATTTCCTAATTGTACAATATTTTAAAATTAATTTTCACCTTTTGCCAGAATTTAAAGAATAACAATTCGATTATTAACCCAGTGGTAAGTTTCTCATGCTTGTATATATACACGTGCTTCTAAAAGAAATCATGATTTTAGCCTCACGGCTAAGAGTTCTTCCTTTGTTTCTTACTTGCTGGTCATTGTTTACTAATTAATGCAGATGATGGTGAGTTCCAAGTCAGGAGCTGGAGTCCGCACTCTGAGAAGCGTGCTTGCTAAAATTGCACGTTTCGTGAAGCCGTGAAGGGGTACAAAAATAGCATGTTTCCCTTTTCTCTTTTCTATTCTCTGTAGCATCTCTCTTTCAGATGGCACATTTAGGATATTTGCTCAGCTATCCATGTCTTGATTTTTTCACACAAAATTCAAACGCACATGATAAGGTCATGCTGAATTTATTAGTGCCATGTTGAACTTATTAGGGTCATGTTGAACTTGCTGGGGTCATGAACTCACAAGTGTCACCCAAACTCACCAAAAGCTTACTCTCGCATTATCAATCCTGCTCGTCAAGCTTAGAAGCCACTCATTAAGTCAAATAAAAGCTACTCGCCATCGGTAATTCAAGTAAGCTGGCAACTTCTATCAATCAAGTTGAACGATTTCACTTATCAGATTACTGATGAGATCTCAGCAATATTTTGAGCCAAGTGTCAATATATGTTTAGCTATAATCTAACAGATCAAAAATATATATTTTTATGCATTCTTTGGATACATGCATGTATTTTGTAGTAATAAGTTTGATCATGTGCTTTTTATTTGGTTAAGTTTTCTAGTGGGGGGTTAGGTGGAAGTTTTGACTTTCATTTGTAATAAACTTGTAGTTTTACACAGTTTAATAAATTATTTTAGTTGCTCTCTCTAGATTTTCATTTTCTTATCTAAATTACTTGCTTTTACATACAAGTAAAATTTTTCAATATTTTAATGGTGCAGTAAGCGTGGATTGAAGCCAATGATTAAAGCATAGCAATGAAATAAGGAGTTAATAAGTATATGCAATAAATATTTCATGAAAAAGTAAAAGTTGGCAGAGATAGAAAAAAAATCACTTGAATAATTCAGGGAGCACTAGAGTGTATTCTTAGAACCACTCCAAGGGTTGAGATGTAAGAAAGAGCTTTAGATTCAGTTATTAGAAGGAAACCAGCAGGTGTGAAAGAAATGCAAACCAATTTGAACATACTTGTCGGCACATGACCATCGACCCTTTGTGGATTTCAATGTTTAAGCTTTTTGGAGGCCATTTAACCAAGGTCTTTTATAAATTACATATGCTTATCATTTAGTGTTTTGATTTGCTTCAAGCTGATTTTTCACAAAAATTAGGGCAAATAAATATTTAGTTGTAATAACATCAAAAAACACAAATAAATATGATAAGCACCTACAATTCGAGAGGTAGGTGATCTCTCCAAAATCCTACTATTCGATAAGTAGGAAACCTCTCCCAAAGTCTAGCTCTAAGACTGAAGATAATAATCTTCTGCATAACCCTAATCTTAAACATATTTTCCTTATTTGTACTAAACAATAACAAATAACAAAAGATTAAATTTTTCTCAGGCTAATAAAATACAAAAGTGCTCTTAAGCTAGGCTGACATAACATTGCACCTTTCAAAAAAACACAGTCTTCTAGGTTGATAAAATTAAATTACTTCTGGATTAAGCTCCCATTGACTTCTCGTTACACATTGTGAGAACTTGTAATATCCGATCATAACAACGATGTCATAGGGTAAACTTGTCATCATATAGAAAATCACCTCTTTGCTGGTTTTTTCTAAACATCTCTCTATTAGATGCTTGAAATTGTCCACTGAACGGATCTCCATATTCTTCTCCTTTGGTCCCTCCCCCTAAGGTGACATCGCATGGGTCATCGGTGTAATGGTCATCGAGGTTCTCTTGTGTAATTCTCCCATGGTGCTTTTTTTCCCGGCCTTCTCCATTTGGTTCTTGTTTTAACTGTCTGGACTAGCTCCATCGTCTTCCCCAATCTCCACATTCTTTGCAATCAGATTGCTGCACGTATGTCAGGTTTTAAACTCTTCATGAAATTTCTTTCCAATATTGATTCAAAAATCCCCCTCAAGCATACCAACAATAACTCAATTCTATCCTCATACTCCATGACAGTCCTTTCACGAGTCAATGCAAAGAATTACTCATGTAGGTTCTCTTCCTGAATTGCCCAAAAATAATATTCCAACAAGCAATCCTTAAATTCTTCCAACGAGCATATCATGTATCTCCACTGAAACCATGCTAGGGATTTTTTTCTCCAAAAATAACTCTGCTTTCATGAGCTTCTCTTTCTTTTTTAGCTCATTCACCGCAAAATATCGCTTGACCGGTACACCCACCCTTGTGTCTTTTTTATCGAAGATCTACATTTTCAACTTTCTAACTCTAGCACCTGTATCACAACTTTCTATCAACTATTTTCCCCCATGTATCGAGGGTAAAATTCTCTCATTCGATCATAGCCATGCCCCATCTCAGCTTGTCACCCCTTCTCCATGTTTTAGTTCAACCAACTCCATCAGAGATCTATAATCCAACGCCAATTGGAGCCCTGAGAGGAGTTTCTTGATGATGGATGTTTTCTCGTGTTTCTCTCGTCCGATCTCTTTCCCGTCCGATCTCTTTCCCTTTTGACTTAGCCAATTGGTCTTCGGCCTTAGTTAGGATTTGTAAATTGAACTACCGGTGATGTCTTGAATTGCATATCGATAAGTCTCCTCTTTATCTCTTCCAAGCACTCAAGTCTGTTTTCAATAAATGAAAACATTTTTTTGATAGTTGTAAACCTTTTCCCTATCCTGTATTTAAGTTGGCTCACCTTTTCATCAAATTTTTGTTCCAAATCATCTACTTTCTTAGTTGTCATTCCTCCTAGAATGAATTTCTATCACAAAGGAGGAACTATTATATGTTGAAATCCAGTCGATAGCTTCATATTACTCAAATTTTTACTAGGGCACATCACAATCCCGAATTCCTTGTTCCCGCACAATCTAGAGTTATTTCCTAGTTTGGTTTAATTAGAGTTCGGCCGCGATCACTATGGTCGGATTTCATCGTTCCTGCTTACTCAGATCGCGATTAAGGAAGCACGCCGTGATCCCTAATCTCACAAATCTTGTACGCCTAATTGAAGGAGGAGAAAGATTGAACTTTCGAGCTTTTACATGCCTTGATCCTATCATTGAATCACGCCGTATGGAGGCAGCCGTGATCCCTTCCTCTCTTTCCTAAGCTAGCTTTGATCGTGCATTTATTGCTCGCTAGATGCGACTGTATCACTAGGGCACAACAAAAAATGAGAAAGGTGTGAGTTTCAGGTCTGTGTATGCTGCGATCCCGTGTTGGCTTCCATTAGAATTGCGACTATAGTGCAAAGTTCGATCACAAAGGAGACCATGATCACTTCGTTACTTCCACTTTAGCTCGAATCACAATTTAGGTCATGTAGGCACATGGCAACCCGACGTTTCCCATTCTGCCATGATTTGTATTGTGAGCTTGCAAGTGAAGGAGACGTGATCCCGTTAGTCGCTTTGTGAAATCACGACTATTTACTTCTATATGCAACGATCCCTTCGTTGACGCACAAAGAAGGCTCGAATCGACGGAAGTCACTTTCTAGAATCATTGCTTCCCATAATCAATGCATTGATACCAATTTGATACAATCCAAGTCGATTTTTCATAGAAATTAGGGCAAATAAATATTTAATTGCAAGAACATCAAACAACATAAATACATAAGATAAGGACCTACAATTTGAGAGGTAGACAGTCTCTTCAAAATTCTACAATTCAAAAGGTAAGAAATATCTCCCAAATCCTAATCCTAAGACTAAGAATAATAACATTTTGCATAACCATATCCATAAACATAATAGCCCTATTTATACTAAATAATAATAAATAACAAAAGATTAATCTGTATTTATTACATGTGGTTGGGAGTTGAGACCTGCGTGAGCTATGCGCCACATAGATCGTAGTTAAAAGCCACGATAGTGGTTGGTCAGATATGTTGTAAGCGGTAGCTTCCGGAGTGTCAGTTGGTCACCATGGCCATAATAGGGAGATGTGATAACATTTGTAGGTCGCAAATGTCTATGTTGGGAGCTGCATGAGCTGTAAACCATGTAAGCCGTAGTTGGCCACATAGACCATGGCGAGGAGTTATAATAATGTCCGTAGGTCGCAGTAGCTGGAGTTAAGAGCTGCATGAAGCTGGGAACTACATGAGGTTTGATAATATTCGCAGACAACAGAGCCGGAGTTGGGACTTGTATGAGCTGTGCACCACATAAGCCGTAGTTGATCACGTAAGTCGTAGTGGTCATGCAACGAGAGAGATTTAGGTGTCTTGAGAAAGTCACCAGATCCTGAGTACGGTGGTTGTTAGCAGTTATTGAGGGATGTGTTGTTACACCTTTGGGGTAGTCATTGCATCACATGCGGGGCACATCGTTGTGCCATATGTGAGGCGCGTTGTTGCATCATATTCAGGATGCGTTGTTACACCGTCTTCAAAGTGTGTCGTTACATCATTCGCGAGGTGCGTTTTTACACCTTTAGGGCGATGCAATGCTTCGTAAGGTACTTCATACATTGTGACAAACACCAGGATTCTGCAGCGAACGTTGTAATCCTGCAAGTGGTTCCTTTGCAACGTGCATAAAGCGACTGACAGTGGTTGATGACGCTCTATGATTGGTCGTCGATGGTGATCGATTGTCGCAGGAGCATGTGATATTTGCTAGACCATCAATATAGAACACCAAACTTCAGTTCTTTCCAAGCTCAGGTTATAGTCTCCCCCATAACGAATGAATTTAGACCACTCTATTGGGTAGCTTTAAGAAATTCCCACACTCAGACGGTGTTTTAGAGACATGTGAGTGCCTTAACAATAGATGAATTGAGTGATTTTGGGACAGTTGGATTTGTCACGTCGAGATGCTCGATTTGACTATAAACATGCTTGATTTGGAATCCATTTGACCTTCCAATTAAACAACAAAAGCTTCAAAAAGTGGTTTAACGACTCAATTTGGATTTGATTTGACTTGGATTGGACCAATTTTGGTGTTCGTGTTGATCTCGCCGAGCCGGTTAGTTTGATTTTTATTTAATGGTTAGTTTGATTTTTATTGAATAGAGTTTCAGATGATTTTTAATTTAAGTTTGAACTTTTCTTGTTAAAAATTGCTTTGAGGTTCATGCAAATCGCCTTGAGATTCATGCAAAATGATAAATTTGTTGATAAAGTATCAGTTGCCTCCCAATTTTTGGGAGATTTCACTTGTTCGTCCGATAATTATCAAAATAACAAAAGTCAAGCATTTTTTTTTTTGAAAATCTAAAAAATTTTGTCTTGCGGTTAGTGGCAATGGGTGGCAGCTAGCAGTGGAGTGAACATATAGGAGGCAGTGGGTCGGCGGGTTCACAAGTTGGCAACTAGGTCAACGATCCACGTGAAGCAAATCGGTCTACACTTCTGCATGGGTCTGTTATGTAGATCGACGGAGGGAACACGTATGCACATGTTCCTTTACATGAGCGCGCCATACTGCTCGTGAATCCACACTGTTCACACATATCGCAGTTTCCTACTAACCCATTGCGCAAAATCAAATGGCTTGCTTAGATGTAAGCAGGTTGGTATGAATTTTGATGTTTTTTTAGAGTTGTATATCCATTTTAAGCTTATAAATACACCGAAAAGAGGAGGAAAATATGTGGTCTCTCAACTTGTTTGTGCGATCAACGGTGCCCCCTCGACCCGCTAATTGAAGTCTCCAAACTTGTGCGATCACAAAGCTCCCCCAACCTGCTAACTGAAGTCTCCCATCCCTTTTGTGCGATCAATGAAGCTCCCCCGTCATGTTAACTAGAGACTCCCAACCTGTTTGTGTATATACGATGCTCTTTTTTGCGTTGTTTTGCATTCTGGAAGGGAATTCTTGTGATGTTGTCACCCTTTGCGGGGAAAATTTTATGTCTTGTTGTGGTGCTTTCTAGATGAGATTTTCTACATGGCTGTTGTGCTTTCTATAGGAGATTTTCCACGCTATTGAGATGTCGATATCCGTAGAATTATGTCCCAACTGAAAATAAACGAAAGTACCAGAATTTTGATGAGACGATGTCAACACCATTTTAGATGAGCTGACCCTCTCCTTGTGGGCATAGAAAGCCGAGCTTATAATAATTAATCATATCCTTGACGAGCACCAAAAAGATAACTCCTTGATTAGAACATGAAGATTTTGCAGGCTTTTCGAGCGCGGATGTTGGCTTTTGAAGAGGATAACATGAAATGCGTACCTTCTGGAGATGAGGAGTGTTGTAATAGATCAATGTATTTTCTTGTGCTGACTTGTTTTGGCCATTGTACTAGTGTCTGTTGGTTGTTGTAGCTTTTCAGTCGCCTGATATGACATTTGTACACTGTGATGGTGTATTTATCTGTGCGACTTTTTTTATTTGATATAGTAAAAATTCTGACAATGTTTTTGAGGTTATTTTTGTCTTTCTTTTTGATTTGTGGTTGTCCCATCTTCTGAGCGGTTACAAATGGCTGCCCAACATTTGGGTCATTGTTGACCCACTTTCAGGGTACAGTGGCATCAAACACTTATAAGGCTTATGCTTTTCAAGATTCTTTGATTTCTCAATCATGTATATGTCTGTAATTAAAGGCAGTACATGTGCTTTGTATAAAGAAAAATGATATACCTTTTGGGACTTGCGGTCTTATGAGATTTATGAATATAAACTCTTGCAACCACTTACTTTCATGGAGTCTTTCTAGTGAGGAATATATCCACTACTTCACAGTAAGACTTCCTCATGGGTACGCCTTCTTGGGGTATAAAAGGAGACTATTTATGCCACTGAATGTTCAACCTTTCCTAGACTGTTTAGTCGAAGCGTATCCATTCAACGATTATAACATGTGGTAGAAGAAATCAATTGTAATCCACGAAGGATATAAGACACATCATAGGTTGTATAAATAGAGATACTCGACGACTATAACCTGTTATGGACAAAGTTGAAAGAAATCCACAAAGACTGTTTGACATATCTACCCTAGGCTATTAGTTGAAGCTTCTACTTGAAGACCGTAGTTTGTGATGGAAGATATTGAATTGAGTCCCTATGAGATTGTTTAAAGCCTATCATGAGTTGTCATCAAATGCCCACTTTTTTTGAGATAGGCGTAGGTCAAAGTAGACCATACTTTTTCTTGAAAATATGGCTACAACCATATTTAAGAATGATGTTTGATAATCTTGCCAGTTGCTACTTTTGAATTTTTTGTCCCCCAAATAGGTTCCACACACGCTTGTATTGTAGCCCATGTATCAAACATTGAAGAGTTCAAATTTTTGACCCAATTGAGGATAAACTCCTATATGATGAGGGGGTGTCGGGGAAGCGCTCCTTGCGATGAAGGTTAACCCCCAATCTAGAAATAGTTTTCATAGACTTGATGTTTGAATGAGATGCATGAAGACTGCCCCACTATAATTATGCACATGACGTTGACACGAACGAATTTTCGAAATTACAGTGAAGGTTTTTCCCCCACATTGAAGAATGCTTCATAATTGCAAAGGAGGTTCCTTCTCTAGTTGGATGATATTGATCATTGGGAAACAAAACAGAGGCTTGACGTTGTGAATTTGAAGACCGTTGAATGAGATTTCATCTCACGGACAATACTAAATTGATGTGTGACGAAACACCACCACAGTTGAGTAATAAATTAGCGTTTCAGTGTTGTACGGGAATCCATCACACATATAAAAGAAGATTAGGAGGAGATACCTCTACTTTTTATGTGGGAAACCTTGAAAAGGGGGGAAACTACATGGACTAGCCCAATTGAAATAATCCACTGTAATGATGGGTATAAGCTTACTCTTCTCCTGAGCTAGAGAAGATAAAATCACAAAGTTGATTTACAATAATATTTTAATAATAATAGCTATAAGGAGTTGCAAATGCCATAGTTGACTGTTATGGATGCATTAGTTAGCCGTGAATATTGTATACAATGGGTATAGCGCCAGCTTGTCGTAGAGGTCGCAGCTGAAGGCTGTGGAAATAGTTGGCCAGATACATTGTAGGCTGTAGCTTCAGGAGTGTCACTTGAACACAACAACCGTAGTATGGAGTTGCGATAGCATTCGTAGGTCACAGAGGCTGAAGTTGAGAGCTGCATGAGCTATGAGCCATGAGCCATGAAGGCTATAATTGGTCACATAAGCCGTAGTAGGCAGCTGAAGTAACGCCCGTTAGCCACAGAGACCAGAGTTAGAAGCTGCATGAGTTTTGAGCCACATATGCCGTAGTTGGTCACATAGGCTGTAACAAGTGGCAATAATGTCCGTAAGCTGCAGGGTCTGAGTTGGAAGTTCTGTGAGTCACCTTGGTTGTAGTTGAAAGCTATGGTAGTAGTTAGCTTGGTAGAACATAGGCAGTAGCTTCAGGAGCATGTTTTAGCCACAACGGCTAAAGCAGGGAACTTCGATAACGTTTTTTGGCCGCAAAGGCCTGAGTCGGGAGTTACCTGAGCTATTAGCCACATAGGTTGTAGTTGGTCACATGGGTCATAGCGGAGAGCTGTAATAACATTTGTAAGCTGCAACTCCAAAATTGCGTGCTGCATGAGTTGTAATAACGTCTATAGGCCGTAGAGGCTGGAGTTGGGAGTCGCAGAGGTCTGAATTGAGAGCTGCATAAGCTGGGATAACATCTGTAGGCCACAAAGGCTAGAGTTGCGAGCTGCATGAGTGTGTTAATGTTTGTAGAGCACATAATAGAGTTAGAAGCTGCATGAGCTGTGATAATGTCCGTATGCCACAGAGGTTTGAAGGTGGGATCTACATGAGCAGTGGACCACACTGGCCATAATTGGTAATGTAGGCTCGTAGTGGTGGGATGCAATAAGAGAGCTTCAAGAAGTCTGAAGAAAGTCACTGTATCTTAAGTACGATAGTCGGAAGCAGTTATTGTGAGGTATGTGGTTATACTGTCTTAAGGGCGCTTCGTTGCACCTTGCACTATATTCGGGAAGCGTTGTTACACCTTCAGAGTGCACCATTGCACAATAAACGAGCGTTTCGTTGCACTATATTCAAGGTATGTTATTGCACTGTCTTCAATATGATGCACTACTTTGTTTGGTGTTTCATTACTCCGAAACATATGCCAGGATTCTGTTGCGCAAGCCATGATTTTGCAAGTAATTTTGTTGCAACGAGTAGGGGTGGCCGAAGTAGTCGACGATGGATGGTGAGCGGTGGACGTCGGTGGTTAGTTGCTATTGGAGCAGATGATGCTCGCTGGACACTGGACCAACTTCTCATTGCGATCTCACTCCAAGCTCATGTCTTAGTCACTGTTCCTTCATCCCCTTGCCCCCCTTGTCATCGTGAAGGGAATAGGACTTTATTTTGTAAAGTCTTGGAGCGACCTCCTTGCAAATATAGATGGAATCCATATCTCTCCATCAGGCGACTCAGAGAGATTTGTTCATTCAGATGGTGTGTCATGGACATGTGAGTGCCTTAATGATGTCGAAATTGAGTAATATGGGCTCGTTGGATTTGTCTTGTCGAGATGCTCGTTTTATATTTAAGTTTGTTAGATTTGGAATGAAATTGACCTTCCGATTATGCTTTAAAAGCTTCCGAAGGTGGTTCATTCGCTCGATATAGGTTTAATTTGACTTGGATTAGATGATTTTCATAATTATTGTGTTTTTCTCATCGAACCGATTAGTTTGACTATAAATTTATATATTTTTAAAAATGTTCTAAATTTATGCATAATAAATTTGTTGCAGACGCATCAACCATGATCTCGTGGATGTCACTTTCTTTTTCTCTGACTATCGACTACTTCGCCCACCATGAATCAAATCGTTTTACATCGATTTGCTTGACATCGCCACCACCCCACTGAGGTCACTAAAGCTAGTTAAACCTTATCTTGTAGAAAGTGATTGTAAACTTCTAGAGTTTTGATTGGGTAAAGGTCATAACCGCATACCTAATTAGTTGACTTATTTTACTTATATTATTGGCCGGTACGCGTCCACAAGTTATTTTTTGAGCCCAGCTTTTCGAGGAATTAATCGCATTAAAACACATTTTTCGTAAGCAACGCTTTCTCATTTTCACATCTATAAATTCAACGCATTTGCTCTGAATACGGTAATGAGTTGGTGGGCTAACGTTATTTTAAATTTAATCACTTAGATGATAATGAAAATATATCGAGTCATAAAGATTATCTCATATTGTACATAATTAAAAAAATATAAGATTAATTTTATTGATTTGTTGAGAATTGCGCGCGCTATAATGCTCTTTTTGAACGTTACAAAGCTTGAGTTTGCTTACCTTCGACTCGTTTACACACCTAATCCTATAATCATAGGGTGTATTACTCGACTCAATGGATGATAATATCGATATTGAAAACCGAATGTGTGAGTTATTAATACAAAGGAATTGAGCCAAATATTAAAAGAGAAATTATATCTTACATATTTATATGTCTAACACCTAAATTTTCATATTTATGTAATACTCAATTCTTTAATATCACACCAGAAATATTATTAGCATTAAATACATATGTTCTTGCATCGCACATTAACCCGTAGTCGCAATTCTATTAAAAACATGACCTGTGGTTTCATTCGTGTTACATTGAGCGCATTATTTAAATGCGTGGCATAGAAATGATTCGGAACTCAATCGAAAAACTCTACGCAACCTAAGGGGCTGTTTGGTTACTTTGGTAGCCGGTTTTAGGCAGGATTTATGCATGATTTAAAGCTAAATCTTGCCAAATGGTAAAAAATCTCTGTTAATCCTACAGGTTCCTAAATCTTGTTTTCCCTTTATTTTGCCTTAAATCCGGGATTTATCAAATCCCGTAAGTGGCATGATTTCTAGGATTTGGAGAAGCTAAAGCTTGTGGGATTTATTAAATCTCATCAAATCCTATTGAAGTCACCAAACAATTTATCCGAATTTATTAGGATTTACTTATTAACATGCCAAATAATTTTTAGGATTTCATAAATTCAGGTTTACAAAATTTATTAAAACCTATTCAAACTAGCCCTTAAGCGTTATAAATGATGTAAATATTAAAATAAAATTTAGGTGTTAGATATGTAATTAAATAAGAATTGTGTGGTGTTAATGTAAATCTTTTAATATTAAATCAAATAAGCTCCTCTATGAAAAAATTATTAGGACTTATCGACCCAGTCCTACAATGTACGCGTTCTCAACTACTCTTAACATAGTGGCAAGCACGGGAATGGTTTGATCCGGTTATTCTACGCGGTTAGGTCTAACCAACTCCAGCCCTTAAGATGCCAGTGGGTCCCACTGGAAACCTTCGTCCTATGACCGTCGGGAATCGATTGTATTTTTAATCCCTCCTTCCATCATCCGGTGGCGATGTCTATCCTCCCTTTTCTGACCGCTCGTTTGGAATTAGGAGAATGTGTCCCCTGAGGGTGATACTGATCTTCCTCTCGGCGACGCTCGCCGGCTTCTTCGTGCTGAAGGGGCTCAGATCGCATGCGGATGAGGAGCCGGCCGAGGTCGCCGGCGGCGAAGAGCCCCTTTCGCTTTCCCGTTCCGGCAAGGTAGGTTAATGGAGACGGGGGAAATCGCTTTTGCTTCGATTTCATCCGTTTTGTTTTGCTGATCGACTTTCTCCCCTTTTTATGATGCAGGTTCGATCTGCGATGAGTTTAGGGTTTTGGACTTGCGTCGATATGGCGAGCGGGCGATATCTGTGGAGGAATCTGGTGTCTTCGGCGGCGACGGTGGATTCAGGAAAGAAGATCTGATTGTTGTTTTTGTTGCTGTTTATTCGGCTTTGAATTTTAATAAATGTTTTCTTGCTCTGTTGATTTGAAGTTTCAACTGTGATTAGTTGAGTTTGATGTGGATTTGGGAAAATTGGGACGTGATTTGCGCTCTTTGATATTTTTTTTATTTGAGTGGCTGTTGCTAATTATTAGGGCTGGCTATTTTTTCCGAACTAAAACTTATCCGTATGATTGCTTGGCTTAAAATTTGATTAGAAAGTAATAATTTTTCTTAGGGATATTAACATACATTCCAAATAATCATTATATATTTACATAATATCACGATTACTCTTGGAAGTAAAATGCATCTACTCATATATATGAAGTATTATAATTGTAAATATCAAAATTTAGATGTTAGATATGTAGATACATTGGAATTGTATGGCATACATATGGCATACATGTAAATCTTTCGGCATACATGTAAATCTTTCTTTTTTTTTTTTAATTTGGATGCGATTTACTTCGATATTAAGAGTTGATTTGATTTTTTTTTGGTACATTATAAAAATACTTGTGATAATCGGTTGAATTACCGATTGATTTTTTTTAGCTGGTCCTTATTCCCGGAGATGAGAAGAATTTGAGTTTGTCAGACGAGGTTTGACAGAATGATCTTGGCTTCTCGACTAAACGTCTTTGTTTGGTTGGATAGCTTGTGGGTCAAGCTGATTGATCTTGGCAACACGACCGGCCATGTGTATTTGGGGGGTCGACTGGATAGTCTTGGCGCCACGATCGGCCGCTTATATTTGTTTGTGTGACTTATGTTGTAACCGGTATATGTTCGGGGTGTCGAAGCGGGTTCTAATCCTTCACTCGTGTGGGTCATGACCGCGTGATTGGATCCCAGTCAAAGGTTGGGTCCCCTATCTATGGGAGGAGGTGACCAAGATTCTTCTCCGGGATGATTTTCGCTGCACTCTTCGTAGGGCTTGTCGTACCATCTCCAGATTTTTTTCCAATCAAAGCTATAAGATTTGAGCTCGTGATGAAGAGAGTTCCCTGGCTGGGTCTTATTACCAATCAGACTTCTATGTCGTTCTTGTCGGTTGTCTTTTATTTTCCATTGATCGGACATCTATGGTGTTAATTTTGGTCCTTTTGCATGCCTTTTGCCGAGCATACGCTCTTGATGTCAGTTATTTTTTATGCCTTTTATCGACCGCAAGTTTTTGGCATTGTTGTCGGATATTTTTTTGCCTTTTACCAATCGGATGTTCTTGGCATCGTTGTTAGTTTTACCGTCCAGGTTCGAGTTCCCCGAGTGTCGAGCGGCTTTCGGAATGCTTAAACTCTTTGAGCTCTCTGAGTCTTGACTTTATCTTTCACATTGAAATTCCCGAAATTCTAATAGAAATGTGTAATAGAATAAGCTTCGAAGAAAACATGATTATGCACCAGAAAAAAAGACCACCTATTTGAGGTCGAAGACCACTATAGATATAGTTAAATTTACTCGAAGTAATTACTGTATTGTTTAAGAAACTAGATATGAAAAAATTTTCATTTGGGATCTTATACAATTATAAAATTTTCGTACATCAGAGATTGGTATGTATATTTGTGTTTATGAATATATCAGAATATAGTGGTATGTATGTAAATCTTCCTTGTTTTGAGGTGATCTGCCGAAGGAGCGAAATGACAGGATAGCGAGGTAATTAGATGGCAGAGCAGTCAGATGGCGAGGTTGACGGACAGCGAAGCCAAGTAAAATATCAAAGGTTAGGAATTCGATATGTAAAGAAGAAGGATCAGGTGGCATGTGCATAAATACCCCATTAGAACATATTTAAGTTTCTTAGATAGGCATTAAGGGTTATGATAAATAAATTGATTTAGAAGAGGATTTGAACCTGGATTTAACTTTACCTTTGCTGGGCACTCAATTTGGACAAAATAAAGCTGCAGATTTGTAAAGTCGGTATGGTTGCTCCACATAAAATGGAAGATGTATGAAGTTACCCTCCTACATGATTTCGGGTAGGAGCAGAGCAGCCGACCGGAAGCATGTGGATGGCCAAGAGTTGGTGGCTGGTCGGAAGCAGGAAGATGCCCGGGAGGTTTCACTGACTACCGGCTGGCGTGAAGAGATCCTGCTAGCAACAGAAGATATAACTGGGGGCTGGCGAGTGAAAAGATAGTTGGACGATAGGCGGTTGGATGCTAGGTGCCGAGACGGCCGGTGATCGGACGACATGTGTCTAAACGACAGGCATTCAACCAGTAGGATGTGTTTGTCTCTTTGAATACTGCACAAGATAGAGGAATAAGAGATTCTTGAGAAACGGCCAACCGCACAGTATGCGGCCGCAAGTCCGATCGACCGGCTGAGTGAGACGACTGGATGGTTGGTCACTGGGGTGGCCAATCGACAGTCACAAGTGGTGTAGAGAGACAACCTACAGACGAAGAAAATGTGTCGGAGTAGAAAGATTATTAGCGAGGAGATCAATTCTCCGTGGGGAAGAACAATAAGCAAAGTCACCAATCAAAGATTTGATGATATAGTTTAAGGATAAATTGAGAACAGTGAATCGATCAGGACATTCCTTCACACGATTGAGAAGGAAAAGCTGGCTGGAGAGATGATCGGTGTGGGTGACAATTCCACGTGTGATGGAATGGAAAAATGCCTATGGGCGGCTTATGTAGGGCAGACAGCTGAACAGCCTTCGGCCAGTCGGCAGTCGGCCGACAAGCAGCTGTTTTTTTTATGAGTTGAGAGGAGGTGTTTTCAGGTAGGAATAATATAATGGAGAAGAAGTGGAGAGGGAAAAATTTCTTGCTATTTTGGTTGAAGAAATTGGAGTGCGAAGTTTACGGCTTGAGAAGAACTTGGAGTGGTTGCTTTTAGAGAGATGAGGAGTTGTTATACTTTTGCGGGAGGAAAAATGAAGTGGGGAGTATTGCTCTTGGGTCAGAGGTTCATGTGCTTGGGTTTTGAAGGTAAGTTTGATGAGGTCAACGGATGGAGATCTGCGTACAAGACGAGCTTTGGAGATCTCTAGATCTAGAAATAGAGAGTCTGAACAAATCTACAGGAGAGAGGATAATTCATTGCAATGCAAGTTTCCCTTGCACTTTTTGCTAGGAATGTCTCTCTGATGAGTTTTTGTCTAATTGTTCATCTTCTTGTTGATGACATGATCCACACTCACCGTACCTTTTAAAATGTTGAATCCAAATATATCTGGTGGACCGTGGTTGAAGGATATGTTTTTCTTCCATTCTCTTTTTTATTTTTGAATGAGTCATCCACTTGTCTCTTGACCCAACCCGCAATTACGTTAATATTTATATTTCTTAAAATTGCCAAAAACATGACCCAAATTATATTTAGCGGCTAATGTGAATGAAATTATTCAGATAATAGTTAATAAGCATTCACACTAGGGGCATTATGCAAGTATACATATCGTTTCAGTAATATAAGATTTTTCTTAAAACACCAGTATCGATCTCATGAGGAAAGCATAAATTCTTAATATTGGCTTGCAAAACTTCTATCTAAATTGCAGATAAATATTATAAGAGAACAATGTCAAAATTTTGGCAACAGTTTAACACTAAAGTTAGGTACAAAATAAGAACAAAGTTTAAAAAAAATAGCAAAGATTAAAAGGCTAATAAAGTGTGAAACACTAATAAAATTTCAAAGAGAGTTTGAAATGTTTTGAAAGATCTTTCCTCTTGCAAATAGATGTTAATCAGTGTAGGATTTGAATGATGAAAATGATAAAATGATGTATTATGCTAATTAGGAGCATTCATATTGTTTACTCTTTCTCAGTGCTAGCAATAAAACAATGGCCAACTTAGAGTTTTTCAACGGCTTGTGTAGTAGTGTTAAGTAGATTTTTGCCTCTCACTTCCAGATTATCCATTGTGCCCTCTTTATAGGACATACTAGAGACCCTTATGATCCAAACTCTGGACTGAATTGATAAGAGAATATAGTCTGTAACACTAAAACATCAATTCTACGCCCATCAAAATTTATCTCCTTATCTATTTTCACTCCCCTTTAGGTAATCACAACGGCTCTGCCCAAGTTGAAATATGGTACTTACTAGTTAGTAAAGTTATAGCCATTCTGGGTCATTATGTTTCTCAACAGATTTTAACAATGCAAATAACCAGTTTGCAAAGTCAATGAAGAACTGGTGAAAATCCCGTCATAATGTTTTAAAATAAAAAAAATCTATAAATCATTCTCATCCCACAAGATTAATTCCCAAATGCAAGAAGAAAGAAAGGGAATTACTCAGAATTCATGGAGATAAAAACAAAAACACATTATTTGTAGTGAAAGTCATGTTTTACAACAAAAACTTAAAACACAAATATAAGATAAGTATATTTATGTCTTCCCAAGAAAATCCTGAAGTTTCCTTGAAGTAATCTCCAAACTCTTACACAAAACAAAAACTCTCACTCTCTCTCTCTCTCACACACACACAATAAAACCTTCAAGAAGTCTTCTCCAACACGCCCCAAAAAAGACTCCCTTTTCATCCAGAATTTGGTCCTATTAATAGATAACTAAAATTTACCAAGGGTCACTTCAAGCACCCCTTTAAAATTTAGCCAAATTCAATAGATATTCTAAAAAGACGGTTACTGATGCTATAACACCCAGCCCACTCGATACCTGGTGCTATGGCGCCAATGGCTGCGCGATGACGCCATTCAAAATCTTCAATTTTTGCTCCATGTTATCCTCATTTTCTCTAAATACTCATTTCATGTATCTGAAACTAAAAACATACAAAATACCTTCCTTTAAGGTGCAATATCATAAAAAATATGCATAAAATGAGCATGAAATGCACACAAAAAACATGTAATTTTAAGGTGATCATCTATCGTCGTATACTTCCATTTTTCGAATAATTATCTCTTCTATATCATATAAATGATTAGGAGAAGAGAGGAACCAAAAAAGACAGAGATACAAAAAAGACGACAAATAAGAGAAAGAACATGGAGTGCCTAAATGCAATAAATCTCATAACAATATATCAAGTATGCTGCCCAAACATGATAGGGAGGAAGCACCTTGGACCAGTATCCATGAAAGAATACTTACATAGATTACCCACAATCAGATATTCAGGT